TCTCTTGCGGAGGCTGAAGAGGTCCAGGTGCCCCAGTCTCTCCTCATAGGGCTTGGCCTGCAAGCCCTTAACCATACGAATGGCCCTTCTCTGGACCCTCTCCAGGTTATCCACATCCCTCTTGAAGTGTGGCGCCCAAAACTGCACGCAGTATTCCAACTGCGGTCTGACCAGCGCCCGATAGAGGGGAAGTATCACCTCCTTGGATCTGTTCGTCATGCATCTGCTGATGCACAATAAAGTGCCATTAGCTTTTCTGATGGCTTCGTCACACTGCCAACTCATGCTCATCTTGGAGTCCACTAGGACTCCGAGATCCCTTTCTGCTTCCGTTCCACCAAGCAGGTCATTTCCTAGGCAGTAGGTATGCTAGACATTTTTCCTCCCTAGGTGCAGCACTTTGCATTTCTCCTTGTTGAACTGCATTCTGTTGTTTTCTGCCCATATGTCCAACCTGTCCAGGTCTGCTTGTAGTTGTTCCCTGCCCTCCGGCGTGTCCACTTCTCCCCACAAGTTGGTCTAATAAAAGATATCAGATTCACCCAAAGAAACTTGTCTCCCGATACATACATAACAAATTATGTCATTGCTGACAAGCTGTCATTTTGCCAGAAAAAAACTAGTGAAAAACATAGCTTTAATCATTCACCTATTAGATGCAGCCAAGATTATAGACAGCTTAATATGTCTTAGTATGGTAAGTTAGTTTTTTTTTTTTAAATATTCTTTTAGAATTATTAAGTACATACTCCACTGGAGGACTGTGTGGCTAAAGGGATGGGTTATGAAACCTGGAACTTTACTTCTTTCAGCCTCTACTTCACATCCAGTTTTCTTGAGTCCATAGTGATTAAAAATCATTGCTGCCTTTGGTAGTGTTGGAGTGATGTAGAAGCTGTGATGGACCAGGAAATGAGAGGCAAGGATTTTTCTGGTGAGATCAACATCACCCTTGCATCTTGCCTTCTTTGGCTGTTTAGCAGGGCATACGAAATATTGGTAGTCTTAATTCATATTACAAAATACTTGCTGGTAGCATTAAGAACAAGCCAAGCACTAAATAAATATGAACAGTGAATTATTTTGTAACTACTAAAAGTTGTCCCTCCAAAACAGGGAGAGGGAAGTTCAAGAAATATTGAATAGCTGGTATCTAAACTTCTGTTGTTCTGCTGGTAAAGAGTAGATTTAATTTCTTAGGACTATTGGTCCAATACGCTGAAAAGCCCCAACACTTTGCTTACAGGAAGAATTCATGGCACTTTTTCACTACTTTACTAAAACAAATTCGAAATTGCCAACTTATATTAAGTACTCTGTATAATAACTGGAGACCATGTTTATCAGTTCACCTTTTTACCCTGTTTGCCAAGTTAACATCATTAACTGATTTAGATCATATATAAAAAATAATTACTTGAAATCTGGTACATGATTATTCAAAGCAGGTGCAAAGAACAATTATTAGGAGATAATACTTTGGATGTGACTGAGATGGTTTTAAAATGCTAGTAACATTAAAAAGAAATTTAAACCTTCTCCAAGTATAATCAATAGTATATAATAATGATTAGAACATCTTCCAGAATTGAGCCCCATACAAATGGTCTTTTATTATGCATGTAATACTTTAATACAGAAGTGCTCAACCTGTAGCCCACAGGCCAGATCCAGCCCTCAGAGCCACATTATGCAGCCTGTGGGGATCCCCAAGGGTCTAAAGATTTGGCAGTGGAAGGGCAGTGGCAGCCAAATTTCTGAAACTGCGGGGAGCCCCATGGGCTCAATAACATGACCCTGCTCACTACTGCAAGGCCTTGCAGAGACAGTGCGGGATCTGATCCTGGTGCGCTGGGTCGAATCCCAATGCACTGGGCTAAGTGGAGGTGTTGTGAAGCCAAATCCTGGTGCTGTCCAATTTCTGTGCGCCTAGCTAGCGGAGGTGGCACAGGATCATTTGTGGAGTGTGGTTCACGGCCCAATCCTGGTGCCCAGGGCCTGATCTGGTTCACAGACCAGCCCCAAACCATTCATCTGACCCATGGAGTCAAAAGGTAAAGCACCACACTGCTTTAATGTCAAGTAAACTTAAATGTTTCAGTTTCGTTTTAGTCCTTCAAAGAGTTCCACATTCTCTCTACCAAGATTTCTTTAAAGGAAGTCTGGCTAATTTCCAATCTTGCAAAAGGCTTTGAGGCCCATAAATCCTTTGCAACTATAAGGACCCCAAGAAACGTCACCATAAAAAACTGCAATATTAAAAACAAAGAAAAGTAACAGATATTTTGTTGAAGAAACCAAAGCATACCTTCTTGTCATTATGGTTCTACTACGGGGCAAAAATACTATTTTTATTAATAAACCTGAAAACCTAACAGAAGTGCACTATAAAAAATTATATTTTTGCTAGTCTGAACTCTTTTCCAATCTAATGATTTTCAATTTTTTGCTCCAAATTTAGACCGCTTTTTCTAGTTCAACTATCTGCATAAAAGGTTTTAAATGTTAAAGTTCCCCCATACTAAGTTATTTATTGCAAGGGAAAGATGTTTAAGAGAGAAAAAATAATATTCCTTGTATTTTAAAAGTTATTTTTCCTGAAATTTCCCCTAACAAAGAAAAGAAACCATCTACCAAAACACTCAAAAAGGCAAACAAAAAAGCCAAAAGCCTTGAATCCCTTGGCTGACATCAGACATGGAAACCTGTGGTCCAAAAGAACTTTCGTGAAATTTATGCTTAAAGTAAAAAGAGAGGGTTCAAATAAAACTATGGTCACAACCCTAAACTACGGTGTTCACAATAAAAGACCATTTTTCCAAATTATACATTTTAGCTCTCTCTGTCATTCCACGCTAGATTTGCCAGGGTGCATCACCAGGTCCTGCAAATTAATAAAGACAATCATAATTAAATAGAACAACGCTGCACAGAAAATGAAGAAAACCCTAGCATAGGGACCTCAGAGGTTTGATCAAATCTGTTAGCCGTGGCTGACAAATGGAAAATCTACCACAAAATAAATGGCTCCTTTTTTTTCCCCCCCAGAATTCTAATTTTACCTGTAAAGTTGCCAAATATTGTAGTGGTGAGAATAAATGGCTTGCTATGCAAAAGCTGCATATGTGCACTTACCTTAAAGTTTTAGTGACAAACTTGTAAACATTTATGCAAAGGTTACTCATGCAAGTAATCCCACTGATTTGACAGAATTACTCATGTGTTTAAAATGACACATGTGCCGTACTGCTTGAAATGTGGGCTGAAAGCATGTCTTGTGAATAGATGCAAGACAACTTGAATAATCTCTCACAAGTCTTTCACTTTTGTTCAGGGACAGAGCTAATGAGGGGAAATTGGTTTCTTGATAAATTTCTGCCATGCTGAGCTAACTCAAGAGGCAGGCAGGCCTTTTGGTAGGACAAGCAACATACAAGAAAGCTTTAAGAACTGAAACAAAAAAGTTCAAACCTGACATTCCCCAGCATGACTCGTTCAGTGCAGCAAGACCCTCCTAACTGAAGTAAAGGGGGCAGGCAGTTTGGATACTGAATCCAAATACAATTATTATTTATATACTATATGGACACAATCAAAAACCTGTGCCTGCAAAAAGAAAAGACTTAATTCTAGCAGAAAGCCACTCAATGTTTCCAACTCCTTACTTTCCCAGGAAGGAAACTCACCAGCATGGTCCCTACCTAGATGTAAGGCAAGAGCGAGGAGGGGTTAGAAATGTCTCAACAAGCCTCCCACAGGAACAACCTCTTGAGTGGTAAAGGCTGTGCTGATCCTGACCCTATTTATAAGATGCTGCTGCTTGTCTGCCGGTCCCTGAGGAGTCTCAGGAGGGCTCCAGCCATGTGAGGTGCCAACCATCCTGTTATGAAAGAGGCAGGCTGGACCCCCTGCTCCTCTCTGCGCCCGGTCAGAAGCTGGCGAGTCCTTTGGAAATACCCAGTATGGAACAGATTCTCACAGACACAACCTTTGGCTACCCCCAAAAAAAAAATTAAAAAAAAGAAAGGAAAAGAAAAAGGAAAAGAGAGCGGCTGCGCCCCGAGCGGTGGCTGGCCCAGGACTCACAGGTGTGGAGGCACTCGGTGACGGTGGTGGGCTTGATGAGATAGCCTTTGCAGATGTAACAGGTGATGTGGGGGTTGAAGTCTTTCACCAAGTGCTTCCTCTGCGCAGCCATCCGTGGGGCGGGCGGGCCGGGAGGCAGCGTCGGGCCAGGCTTCACCAGGGCTGCTGCGCCGCTCGCGGCATGGG